ACGAACAAAAAAGTCTTAGATTTATTTTTTACATATGTGTACCAAGTTTCAAAGTTATCTGTCAGTAATTAACCGAAATAGAATTTCCATAAGAAATTGGACATTGAAATTGGAAATTGGAAATTTTATTTTGGTTATTTACAGACAGATAACTTTGAAACTTGGTACACATATGTAAAAAATAAATCTAAGACTTTAAAAAATAAATCTAAGACTTTTTAATCTAAGAATTTATTCTAATACATAATTTGAATAGAAGTTTTCAATCTTTTTGCAAAGTGATTTTTAAATAGCCCTATTGAATCTATATGTTTACAAATAAGTATGAAAACCTTAAAATTATTATATTGATAGATAATCATAATATGTTCTTCCTACTAGCAATCTAGAATGTGTTATGTGGGAAGGTAAAAGAGTAATACATAAACAGGCTTTGTGTAGTTTACTGGATAGAGAAGCTTAAAACTAGACCATGTCATTGTCATAAACAGTAGATGCACATTTTTTTACAGTTGTATGAAATTATTTTAATTTGAAATGAGTGATCAGAAATCAAGATCGATTACATTAAACAATCTTAGTTTGCAGCCATGTATTGACAAGCTCACAGCAGCTGTGCTTGCTGATGAGAAGCAACTCCAGAAGTTTGCCAGTGCCACTTCACTGAGGCAGCAAGTCCAGATTCTATTGAAAACATTCTCTCATAAGCCTAAAGTGACCATAAGGTGAGCATTGAATTTATTTGTGCTTTATTTTTTACACTCTAAAGGTCTGATGAACAAGTAAATCGTAGGAGCGCATAAAAAATAGACTATTAAAAACTAAGCTAACAAAAGGTTCGCTAAAAATATTTACATAAAGTGTACCTACTCATAATTTTGTCTGTACTATTTCCTAGCTATTTCATGTAATTGAAAGTTCCCCTATTTATATTTAGCATGACACAATTACTTGTCAATTTCACCTTTTGTAATGTTTCTTTAATATGTATTTCCTAAGTAACCATATTTTTTGTGAAACTGGAAATAAGGAGAAATTTGAATTTTTCTAAATTTTGTGCCATTATGACCAGTCTCTTGAGATGTGTGTATATCATGTGTAAAAAAAATGTTCTAATATATGTTACTAGTCACACTAGGTGAATTTGTCTTGTACATTTAGCACTGTATAGTTTAACCTTTTGGTGACCAGCTACCTTGCAAGTGCAAAATACTGCATTTTCTCCATACCGCTTTGCTGAAATTTATTCATTAAAAAAAAAAGACAGGTGACAAAAACCTCCAACTAGGCATAGTGCAGCCTGAAATAAAAGCAAATATATATGTCCAATTGGAAGAATTCGGTTACAATAGAAATAAGAATTGGCCCATTTGAAAGGCGGCAGATATGTACAGCTAGACGGTTAAGGGGAGCATCTACCCTAAAATTTAAAATTTTCACTTTTTCGGTTTTTATACTCATTTTAAAGCTGACATTCTGCCCTATCCAATGGTNCGCTCCCCTTAAGGGTTAAATGTAAAATATACAATCAAATAGGTATGTTTAAACACTTAAAGATGAACTATATATAGATATAAATATATCCGTTGCATTATGCATAATCACAAAGATATTGACGACATTGACAAGAATTGTCAAAATTGTAATTGAAAAACAGGAAACAGCATGAGTTTTGGTGTCTATGCTACTATTTTTTTCAAACTCTAAAAGTGTATACTAGGAACCTTTTTCACATATGCATTATTGGGGATGCCATTAATATATGGATGACATTATCATCACTGGATTGGTAATTCTCAGAGTCATGATAAGAGCCTCAAACACAAACTGTGGACTGTAGGATTTCTTTTGAGAGAAAGATTTAAGTTCCTGTGTCACTTGCACTAGGATTTATTGCAGGAAGCTGCCAGCAAGGTAATATAGGTATAGGTGGGCAGTGGCCAGAATTTCAAAACTTGCTTAAAATGCACAAGTACTTGCACATGTGTAAGGGCCGATTTCTTGTCTATGATTGGAGGGTTTAGCTTTAAAAGCCATCAGTGATTGCTGACGGAGTTACAAACTCATAACTTTTTTGGAAAGTATGGCCCCTGGTGATAGCAATGTCAACCACATTGACATTGCAAATTCTTGAGAGAAGTGCAGATATATGGAAGGTTTGTGATGCATTGTTATGAATAATTCTATCATGTCAAGAAAATATTTTCTTGTCTAACAGAGAAGCTGTCTTTGAAATAGTGAAGGAGCTGTCACGGTTTGGTGATCGAGATGAAAGCAAATCAGAAGAATTGGCTGAAGAATCAAAGATGCTTGGTTCCAAGGTAGGATTTCTCTTATTTTCCCTTGAATATTCTTTGAGAAGTACTGTGTACTTGGTATAAGTACTGAGAAGTACCATATATGAATATTCTTTGATGTTACCAGTTGAACAGAAGAGCTGTATTTGAAATACTTTATTTAGCTTATCTAAATTGCTGATGGTTACAAGTTGTACAACTTTTTCAAAAAATAATTAACTTTTATTCTTATGAAAAATATGCATTTACTATAAATTCCATTCAATCTATTACTTCACACAACAGTAAATATGAATTTCTGCCTTGAAGCCCTGCAATGTATGCTCCCTGTTGTCCCCCTCTTCTAGGCATTCAGTCAACGCCTGGATGCAGAGGCACTTCATTTATATAATGAAGCCTTGCACCTCTGCCCTGACTGCTCACCCAACCTGCCCCTGCTCTACGCAAACAGATCTGCTGTGCTGTTCCACATGAAAAAGTATCAGGTACCGGTATATGATCTCTGAATAAGTCTTTCAACACTATAATTGTTACCTGTATGGCATTGCAGCTTAACAGCTATAAAAATTTTCTATGCCAGAAAACTGATAACTTGAAATCAATAACACTGATAATTTGGTGATCTAAAGAAAGTCTCAACCCTAAATCACAACTGGTTGGTAGAGCTTCAGAATATACTATATAACAGAAACAGCAACTTGAACAAACAGCAACGGTGCCATCAACTTGTTCAACTTTCATCCATCATTCAGTTTAATGAATGTTATGAAAATTTTGATCTCTGCTGTTACTGTTTGCTGCCTCACTCTTCTCTGCTTATCTGAATTTCTGTTGAGGCTGTTGGATTGACATAAAATCAATCTTAGTTCATGAACCTCATTCACACCAACCGTATTTATTCTCCTTTGATGATTGTTTTGAACTTAAAACATTAATATTTTGTTTATTTATTTAATTTTTTATGTGTGTCCAGGAAAGTTAAATGATACATGACCTTAAATTCTCAATTTCATTGTGGACTTATTTCAATATTTTTGTTTCAGGAATGTTTGGATGACATCAACAGGGCCCTGGACAGTCAATATCCCAAGAACCTGAAGCATAAAGTGCTGGTACGCAGAGCTCAGTGCCTGCAGTTGTTAGGTCGCAATCGTGAAGCCTCCATAGCAGTGCAACAAGCTCGTGCTCTGTGCGAGGATTTAGCGCCTGCTAAAACAAGAGACTCTTACTTCTCTACTCTTGAAGCTCTGCGGGTGCAATTTAGAGATGCTCAAATATCTACCGTAGCTCCAGAACTTGATGAGAGAGATTTAGCTGTTGGAGTCAAGACCAGCCTTCTGCATGATGAAACCACCAAGCTGGATGGTTTGAATGATGAAATGACGGATGCACTCAATGATTACAAAAGGCAGATCCTGAAGTATAAATTATTCAAAGGATCAAATCCACAAATAAATTTCATGTCTAATGCTCTGGAAATGAGGTTAGTTTTATTGTATAACAGCATTGAATTACGTTATGTTATAATTTAAATACATTGGAGCAATGCTTTTTGATGAAGTTTGAGGCTTCATGCTGAGGTTCCCAAAGGAATGAGTATGGGCTTATTTATGGGTGCATCGTAAAGTGGAAAAAGCTGGCAGATGCTGTTGTTGATGGAATACATTATTCAGGGGCTGCTTAATTTTCACCCCCGCAACGTGCATTCCTTTGACGTTTCAATATAAGCTCTTAAGGTTGCATTCCTTGCCAGCTGTTGACTCTTAACTCAGGTTGACTTACAAGTAGTAAAGTGCATTCCAACTTAGTTACCGCGTCAATGGGAAAGACAGTCGATGTTTCGTAAAAACAAAATGTTATTATTGTTCTCTCAAATAAGCCCATACATATAATTTCTGGAGCCACTAGCACTTGAATGAATATAAGCTTTGTTTCACACTTGTGAGTTATTTTCGGCTGACTGTAACTATATATAAAATTATATATTTGCAGTAATAAAACAATCATCAATAACAAATGTGATGTGCAAAACTCTTAGATGTATATTAACATAAATGCAACCATGTCATCAGAGAAGACGCGATTGAAGGACGACACGTTGTGAGCAAAAGAGCCATCAAGGCAGGTTCAACACTCTTCATCGAACGTCCATTTGCTTACATGCTTCTACCCAAGTTCCACTCAACCTACTGCTACAACTGCATAACTTTTCTCAAGGATATTCCTATTCCGTAAGTTATTAACGATATGGGATGTTATGATATCACTTAAGCCATGGCAGACGTATTCAAACCAACCATCCGCAGCTTTACCAGAGTAGTCAATTCACTTCGGTAATTAGCTCTACATTCTTTTACCGCAAGCTGTCGATGTTTCTTCTATGCAAGAAGCTCACTGTTTAAAACGAACGTATTCAAGTAGTAGTATAAGACATTCTTACATTATTGCAATTTGTCCGCAGAATACCACGATGGCTATGGCTATACTATATATCAGGTCCAGCCAAGTCCAGCTCTCCATAACTCAAAATTATATGACATCACTTTATTTTGTTTCATCAAAATGCAGTGACTTATGATAGCTCACTCATGGGTCACCTGAGATAACACGTTTCGGGTGTCGCAGTAAAGGTTTTTGGTCGTCAATTTATTTCTTCACTATATTATATTGCTGACTGGCCCGTTGGCCAAAAAAAATCAGGTGTAATTTCATCGACCTCTGTATTTAATCTTAAGTTCTCTGAATATTTGCACACTTCACTCACGTGTTGCAACCCGTGCAGGTGCAAGAATTGCCGTACGTGGTATTCTGCAGCGAGAATTCTGCAGCGTGGTATTCTGCTTGTCGGTCTGAGATCGACCTCTGGATTTAATTTTAAGTTCTCGGAATATTTGCACACTTCACTCACTTTTTTCACCCCGTGCAGGTGCAAGAATTGCCGCATCGTGGTATTCTGCAGCGAATATTCTGCAGCGTGGTATTCTGCTTGTCGGTCTGAAATCGACCTTCTCTCGATTTAGTTTTAAGTTCTCGGAATATTTGCACAGTTCACTCACGTTTTTCAACCCGTGCAGGTGCAAGAATTGCCGCATCGTGGTGTTCTGCAGCGCGGCTTGTCGGTCCCAGGCGCATCCGTGGCACAGGCTTGATTGCTGCAGACTCACCCTCACCTCTGCTGGTGGCATGGCTCAGCTGGCCCTCAGAGCCGTCGCTGTTGCAGGCTGGCCGGTCTGCAGTGCCGTAATGTGAGCCTTCCTCTTGCGGTCTTTATGAACTATAAGACTAATACATGAATATTTTCACAAATATGCTTACAATGGAGAGCCAGAAGATGTGATGGTTAATAAAAGAGGGTAAAGATTAAAAGTTGGTAAATTAAGGAAGTGAGAGCCAAATGGTGGATGGGATGCATGTTAGTTAGTTACACAATGGTATAACCCATGTCATTGTGACTTTCAAATTTATTTCCTAACGCATGTATGCTATAGGGCAGAGTAGCCTACGAAGTTAAGTGCTCAAATCTAGAGCGTCTCAAGTCCGTAGCCAATACCCGAATCGGTATTGTCTTCATGCATATACAACCTCAGTATGGAACTACCTCACCACTTGCCCCGACTCTCCACCTAAAGATTTAATCCAACCTGACTTCACCTCATTGGCTGCCGCAAGGTTGATTGAGAGGTGGGGTAAGTGACCAGATAGAGAGCAAGCCATAGGGTTCAGCAATATACAAAGTCGTGGTGAATGTGTTGGTGAGTTTTGGTTATTCAGCAGTTGCACATCCATGAAAACTAATATGGCTTGAGAAGTGACTGGAGATTTGAAAGCTCTGAATTTAAACACTAGGGAACTGATGGGGTTTGTAGTGCTGCAAGCGTGATCTGCGGCTTTGTAGCTCCGAGGCTAATTGTAGCTGTGCATGTTTATGCTGAGCTTTGGCTCAAGTGCTTGTTTAACCTTCTACCGCCAGATGTCACTTTCCGGGAACATAACTTTCAACTCTAATTATATGAACTTCCAACTTAAATTATACGTAAACTATTGAGTGTGACAACCTGAGGACGTTTGTACGCAACAGAGAACATTTTAAAGTTGTCTGGGCGGCAACCATCAGTGCAAGTCATTTTGCGCTCACTAGAACGTATCTTTTTGGGAAGTAGGCTTGTTACAATATTGCTCCGGTTACTCATGTCGGGCGGGAGAGGACTATAGAGTTAAATTTTGTCAATGCCTGCGCTCCCTGGTGAATAGTCTGTCAAATTTTACTACCATATTCGGCAGTATTATTGAGTATCGTATTTACTTCTGAAACTTTAATTCAAGGGCGATGACTTCTAGGTGATTAATGTCCTTGAAAATGATGAATCTTTTTTCTGTTGGGATGTTTTGTTTCCTATTTGTATTTTAATTGACATAATATTTCCGTCTTTGATCAAAAACTCGAGAAATTTTACTTCTTATCCGCAAAATATTATGGGAATATCCTTAATGTTACATTACCCTGATTATGTAATTTGCAGTGATAATTATGTGTTTTAAAAAATTCCCGTACAATTAACTATGGATAACCCTGATTATGTAATTTGCAGTTATAACTGTAAGTTTAAAAGCATTCCTGTACAATTTACTATGGTAAACATTTATTTTGTTTGGTGCACTGCAGGAAGGAGAGCCCTGATGCTGGCAGTGATGAGAAGTACAACAAGTACACTCCTATTGCCCGCTACAGAGCTCTCTACAGACTTGTGCATCACATCGATAAAAGTCCTGTCGAAGAACAGATCCAGTATTGCCTTGTGAGTTTAGTTCAATTCATTTTTTGTGAAGCTTTAGCTGTACATATTAGTTGAGTCGTATTTACATTGAACTCTGACAATAAGTGCATTTATACATTTGCTTAGCTTTGAGATATACGATGCTAGATCAGCTTTACTCAAGGTAATTATTTAATTGTGAAAGATGAGACACAGTATTGACTTGAGAGTTTAGTTTGATTCATTTTTCGTGAAGCTTTAGCCGTACATATAGGATGAGTTGTATTTCGCATTGAACTCTAGCAATAAGTGTACTTGTATATATATGCCTTTAACCAGGTTTCATTAAAGACCAGATAATTTGTTTATTGACAATTTTCTTATTCATTTTTTTTTTCTTAATATATCGGATAATATTTTTTGTTCGCACTGGCAAATCGAAAATCGGGGAACCGATGGGCATTTTTAATTTGTTAACAATGTTTGAAATGTATTAATGAACCATTTTCAAGTTACAAGACTCATCGAGGGATGAAGGTTGGATCGACATAGGTACAAAATCAAATAAATAGTACACTCAAAAATCAGAATTTGATTAGAGATAATTGCAAAATCGCGAAAATATGAAGATGATCAAGAATTAAAGCACCAAAAATTATTCCAAATAATATATATGCATAGCGTTGAGATATACTATGCTAGATCAGTATTATTCAAGGTAAACCAGTCAATTATAAGATGATACGCATCCTGTATTTACTTGTGAGTTTAATTCAGTGTGATTTCCGCAAAGTTTCAGCTTGAGACATTTTTATAGGATG